TCCCTTTAATCCGCAAGAATAAATCTTGAATCCATAAGCACATAGACACTCAACTATCTAGAAAAAAATGATTAGATAATAAAATATTTTGAAATCAAGTTTCAAAAGCTTTTTTAATAAAAAAATATATTTGTAAAACATTTTTTTATAAGTAGTTATAAACTTATCCTAGGCCATTTGAAACATAATGAATTTTGAATAATGATAATTATAAGAAGGAGGTAATCATGGTGATTGATAGAAATGAACTTATTAGTAATTTAAATTAAAAAGTAAAATTATTTATGACATTTAACAAGTTGAATTATGTATGTACATTTATTAGAGTAATGTTTGAGCATGTACAAAGGGTGTTGTATGATAACATGTTATCATAATAACTTCATTCAAGGAGCCATCTTACCAAATTTAACATGTTACGAAATGAATCATAATAAACTAGACTTATTAAATCATAAGTTAGATAATTATTGGAGAAATTAATTAAATAAAGTGTTAGTATACACTGATTAATTGTATCATTTGATCTAAATAAATATGAAAATTGATTTATATGTGTAAAAAATTAAGTCATAAATACTATTACAATCAACTACATATTTTTAATGTAGTGACTAGATAATTCATATACTATGTGGTTCAAGGGATGTCTCAAAAGTTGATTTGAAAAGTGGTTATTATCAATTCAAATTAGTGTAATTGATGAATGAAAAATAACATTTAGAACAAAGCCAGACTTTATAATTAGTTAGTAAGGCTATTGGATCTATCAGATGCTCTCATTGTGTTCATGAAGATTATAAATCAAATATTAGAGAAGCATATTGAGAAATAAAGTATTTTTTTATCATAATTACACACTCATTTATAGTAGTATAGAAACGAAATACTTAATTTACTTGATAATATTATTAACAATTTTACAGTAAAATAATTTATATGTTAATGTAAATAAATGAAACTTTATGGAAACAAGTCTTATTTTCTTAGATTTTGTGATTATATTAGATGACATAAAAGTAAACGATGAAAATATATTGTTGGGTTTGATATGATTATGTGAAGAACTAAAAGGGGGGTGAATTTATTTTCTCTGTGTCCACACACACTCTGAAATTATTTATGAAGTTTATAAGCAACTTAACCTACGGTTCTTATTTTAGTAATGTGGACACTCTAGTTTCTTTCTCTCTCACTCTCAATGATGGTAGACATAGAGATTTTATATTATTTCACATTTTTCTTAGGCTACATTCAATACTAAAGGATCCTATTTTAATATTTTAACTATTTCCTAACATAAATAAAACTAACTTAATGAGCTCAACTCTCACAACATAATTATTTGATCTCTATAAAGATCTCACTCCTCACGAGTAGGTCTTGTTTCACAACATCACGTGTTTAAGTCAAAGTACAGTTCTCGTAAAAAAATATTATTCATGGACAAAATTTGACTCTCAACACCTTGTCCCTTAGTCTTATCTTTTCTCTACTCAGCAACCAAGTTACTTCAGAATTTGATGTGAAATGATAACCTTCATTTAATTTTTACTTCTAAATTTTCTACTATAGTGATAGTTGTTTGTGATATCTTGTTTAGAGATCCATACCTGATTGACAAATATTTATTCTTTTGAGATCTTACCAAAAGAATATCATTTACTTATCTTTAATCCACATGATAATGAGTTATTATCTAAAATCTAAACTTTTGACCTTTAGTCATACTTTAACTCATATTTTACTGCTGATTATGTTTTATTGATATTATGTCCAGAGACACTCATTTAATCAATGATCATATTTGTTTTTAAGATTAAGTTAAGATATGATCGTTGAGTTTGTTGATTATTCTATATACTATGATGACATGATATCATCTAGAGTGTGAGAGGTTGACGTTGAGCTTTTTTTTCTGCAAAACATACATGTCTCTCACATGTAATCTTCAAGGTTTCTATATGGAGATACATACAACTTCATTGATTCATTTTTTTCTTGATACTAGGTTGAAGTTTGGTGTTTCTATTTTACTGTTTTCTTCATGTAGGACTCTAATGTGTGATTGTAAAGTTATGTGGTTATAACCTTTCTACCTCTTTTGCTTTATACAAATGGTCCAACTCAATTACTTTGTGGATTATGAGGTTGAGTTTTACTTTAGTCATTAATCATATATTTTTACTTAATATCTCGACAACCTTTTCATATGTTGTTATTGTGCTTTAAACTCAAATTTCATCCCTACTTTGATTTGAATAATTAAGTTGTTATTTCTCACTTCCAAGTAACTTACTTCCTAAGTTTGATTCTAATGTATGTCATAATGTATCTTTGATTTTTAGATTTTTTTGTATTAACGCTCTATTATTCACATTACTTAGGTAGTGCATTAGAATCTTTCTGGTGACTTTTGCTTTTTAGAATATACATGAGATTTCGTCACATATTTTGACACTTGTTATGATATTCTTACAATAAGTGAATATTACACTGCATTACTTCAATACAAAAGAATATCTCAAAGATGTAACTCCTTAAATTTGTTGTTAATCATACACTTAAACATAACATTATCAATATATATGATTTGAATATTTGTCAAATTAAACTTATCTTGTGATCAAAATAACTATGATGCATATAGATAAATTATGCTTTGACTCATTCAATAATAATTTATAATTAAGCTTCACACTGTATGTGTTAAAACACACCATGTGTTAACACCATGAGGATTCACATATATAACCTATCAAAGATTGACCAATATCTAAAAACATCTACAAGATGTGTACTTTTTATATGGTTGTCTCTTTATATCACATATTTATGAAAAAAAGAATTTTCAATTAAAGTGAGGGGGCATGTTAAATTTTTAATATGATTAAGAAACAATTATCTTCTACTCTAATATTAGTAATATCAAACTTAGAGAAATTATTTGAAGTTCAATGTGACGTATAAATTATTGTGGCATAAGTTATATTACCTTGAGGTATATCATGCTTTTTATAATGAAAAACTTATGTTAAAAGGAAAAAATAATTATAAATTAAAATGTTATATTATAGTTTGAGCATCACTTACTCTATAATATTATCTTATTAAATGATAATTAATATTGTTTACTAACTAAACATTAAGGCTTAACAATCAAATGAATACCAACATAAACATGTAATATGAGTTTCATTCATTTCAACAATTCACTTTTGTCATCAAATGCAACACATGAAAACTAAATTGATCTACAAATCCATTGAGTAACAAAATTGACAAGTTTCATTACCCTGTTTATTGAAATAATTAGTTTTTAGTATTTAAAAGATTTAGACAAAGACGATGAATACTTGTGCTTGTTTGGGAAGCCTTCAAGATGGTCAATCAACTAAATAATGCAACATAGATGAAAAAACTATTATTTTCTAGGCATCAGTTATGCATTCTAAGAAGCTTTTTGTGTGAAAAATTAGTTCATCAATTACATAGACGGATTAAGACGACATCTAGTATGGGATTAAACCTTACGACTAGTAGAAGAATGTTATTATTGGTCATAGTAGAAGAACAATGTGGAACATCATATACAAAAAATGTCAAAATTTTTAACCATTGTATTCCCCATTAAGAAAGAACATGAGCTGACATATCTATGGATTTTATTTTATAGCTACTATGAACACAATAAGAAACATATTATGTCTTCATATTTGTTGATCATTTCTATAAAATAATATATTTTAGAATATATAAAATGATATATTATAAGTAAACTTATTATTTAATGAGGTAGTTCATTTGCATTATTTTTTTAATCAATTACATTTGATTAAGATAATTCATACCATATTTTTGGTGTACTATTTTAAAGAGGTTTGTTTCTATCTTAAAATTCAGTAATATTAGTTAGACTCAAAGAGATGGTTACATCATGGTAATAAACATGACACTAAACAATTTGATTCATTATATTTTAATAAATAAATCAAGATAATAGAAATATTTGACACAAGTAAAATTTGCTTACAACTCTATAGTCAATTGCATTACTAATCAATATTTATTTTTTATTTACTATTTTTCTTCAATCCTTCCTTTAGAACTTATATATTTATGTAATTAACTAATAAATACAACTTTTGGATTGATGATGACAAAAGTTATGACCTGAAAATTATTTCTTCTAAAGCATCTCATTTTCTAGTTAAGCCTTGAAAATGTTTTCCATTAATAGTAGTGAAAATTGGTAAATTTAATGCAATCAAGAAATCAAGAACTAGCTGACTTTTAGCACTTTAAATATTGATAAACTAAAATATTTTATTGTTTTTAGAAATAATCTCACTTACCATCAAATGGTCGGTTAGCTTATTTTAATGTTTTAGCTTATAATATTGAACAATTTACTAGTACTTTCTAATTGACAAAAGTTAAATATTTAAGTTAAGAATGTCAAATATTAAGACCTCAAAAGGGCTTTTGAAATAATTAGAATTACCCCAATAGGATTCCACTAGGATAATATTTTAAGTTTTTCTCTTTCATCCATCAATCTTATTGTGCTACATTTACTTCAATGGAGAGCATCTAGGAGAAGTTCATACACAAAGCAAAGTCTCTATGTCCACTCATACAATCATAGTACAACAACTTTGAGAAACTGTGTGATAATCAAGTAACATTGACTAGAGCAAGCCATTCACATGTAAAATTCAGCATAATAATGCGAAAAAAAGAAGGAAATAAGTTAGCGTAGGTAGAAGAGCTAACGCACAGCTCAAACTAGGAGTCAGCATGTGATCATGAGCTCAGTTTATTTTATTTTATTTTTCATTATTATTATCATCGTCGTGTGAGAAAAAATAAATATACATAAAATTTTGGATGAAGGGGGGGGGGGGATGATTGCAAGCGGAGGGAGGAGGAATTAGAAGGCTCTCTCTCTCTCTCTCTCTCTCTCTCTCTCTCTCTCTCTCTCTCGTTCCCGAGAGGAAATGGCGAAGATGGGCGAGGAGCAGCACGAAGCGGATAGCCTGCTTCCGATCCGAAGGCTACAGGCGTCGGACAAGTCCAAAGGCTTCGTGGAACTCCTCTCCCAGCTCAGCCCCTGCGGCCCCGTCACCGATGAGGAGTTCCTCTCCCGGTTCGCGGAGCTCGCCTCCCACGGCGACGACCATGCGATCGTCGTGGCGGAAGACGAGCAGACGGGGAGGATCATCGCCACGGGGAGCGTCTTCGTGGAGAAGAAGTTTCTCCGGGGATGCGGGAAAGTCGGCCATATTGAGGACGTGGTTGTCGACGCCTCCGCCCGGGGACGACGCCTGGGGCAGAGGGTGGTTCGGCACCTCGTCGGGCACGCTAGGGCGGCGGGTTGCTACAAGGTGATCCTCGACTGTTCGGCGGAGAATCGGGGGTTCTACGAGAAGTGTGGGTTCCAGGAGAAGAACGTCCAGATGGCGGTGTACTTCCACGAGTAATCGATCTGGGATTTCCTCCCCTGCCATTCTGGTATTCACTTAATCTGCTTCCAAATTTCTCTCCGATTAACGGATCGATGGAGCTTCTTTCTCTTTTGTGATAAATGATCCATACCCAGATTCGAGTTCCATTTCCCATTCTCCATTCAAATCCTCTGATTCTTACACTTACCTTCGTGAGTTAATCACATTGATTTATAAAAGAAATCTGTGCAAATCACCCTTCCTTTTCTCCTTTCTTTATCATCTTTTTTCATTTTTTTCCGCTTTCTTCAGCTCTATCCTGATAATCAGCGAAGAAAATATATGGCTATCATCCCTGTTGGTACCCAGACTTCCCACTGTTGCAGGTTTTTTTCTTGAAGATGATGGAAGTCCGAGAACATACAAGGCTGATCTCTTATCATCAGAGATTGATGGGCTTGTGGCAATAACACAATCTACCCAATCTTGTCTTGAATCGGAGCGGATTAGACTCCCCTTCATTTGGACCAATTTCTAACTTTTATCATCTTGTTTAATGAGTAGATACATCCAACACCTGGCCTGTTTATATTTTTTTTTTGTTTTTTTTCATCCGGATGCTTGCGTTGACTCGGGGATATAAGCTGGATCGTTTTGGCTTGGAATCAGGTTTGGTTCTTAGATCCTCACTGGGAAAGTTTTAATTAATAAATAACCTTAATCGGCGAATTGATCCATCGTCTGCCTAATTTTTTTCATGAATTGGATCAGAATCCTCCCATCCGGGCTAATTTCTATTTACATCATCGTTATATTTTTTTTAGTGGGCAAAATAAACTAGATTTTTGCTTGCGCTGGTTCATACACCCATTCGGATCATCATCTCTCAGTAAGCAATCGGGTAATCTTATGAGATAAGTCAACACATTTCTGCTCGGCCCACTGCGTGACGATGCACTTGTAAAAGATTTCATCGGCCGCTCCTTATGACGCTTAGCTTTCCCTACTCTCTTCTCTCACTCGTCTCCCTTCTCCTGTGGGCCTCTGCCGGGCCTCGGCAATCGCCGCCTTCTTCCTCCCCATTCCCCATCTCCGGGCCCGTTCTTCTTCCTACCCAGAGGAGAGGGAGGCCCAGAAAGCCAGAAGAGGAGCGACAAGCTGCCATGGCGGCTGCCGTATCCGGCGCCGCCGGCTCCTCGGTGGCTGAGTTCTTGGAGCTTTGGTCAATGGAAGGCGATCAAAGTACAGAGCGTTCCGGGGGCCTTGTAGTCAACTCATGTCGGACTTATGACTGAATTGTACTATAATTGATGGCGTCGTGTTTACAAAAAAGGAAGGAAGGGTGTTGACTTGATAGAAAGACTGACCTGGTGGATCTGATTCCCCAATGGCGGGGACTAAGAATTAATGGAGATGAATCAGAGGGCCACTTCGATCTTCCTTCCTTCTTCCCCCGTCTTCTACCTGCCTAATCGAACAACCGGGTCGTCTGGGCTATGGCTTCTCCTTGCTGGCTGAGCACGTACAGTTGGTCTTGGTCTCGGAGAGGCTCTGTTCAGGGCCCAACCAGACAGGGGACGTGTTAGGGGCCATGGGGGAGAATTTTCAGGCGTGGCTGTGGAAGTGGTCGAGTACCTTGACCTGCTCCTCGAGCTCTCTGATGTATTCCACAGCGAAGTCCAGCATGTCAGCGGTGTTCGTTTGCTGCAGGAGATGGAGGCAGGTATTAGGGTTGGGAGCTAGGGTTTCGGTTCCTTCATTTCCTGCGGATCATCGATCGATCGTACCTTGTCCATGTTGGGGACGAGCTCCTGCAACCTCCTGATCCGCTCGCTGATCCTCGTCCTCCTTATCTGGGAAAATTCGGTTCATCAGAAGGAGATCCAATCGAGAGGGCGAGGGAGAGCGGTGGTGGGAGTTACCCTCTCTGCGATGCTCCGAGGGTGAGTGGCGCAGCCGCGCTTGGCGCGGATCTTGCAGGGGATGGCGTCCTGGAATTGGAGGACGGCGGCCATCTCCGAGGAGGTCTTCGGCAGGTTGAAATGGTGAGCCAAGGTCGGGATGTGGCCGCTACCGGCTTCTCCAATCTATAGATATCGAGCGAGAAATCTGGTGAGAAGGAGAAGATGATGATCAGAGAGGAGGAGCCGCGGTATGGTACCTGAGCTTCCGATGGATCTCTGGGTCTCTTGATAGCGATGGAGAAGCCATCGGGGGGATCGTCCCAGGCGGCGACAGGGAGCCCCGGGATGAAGCAGCGGCCGCCGTCTTCGGGGCTGCTCCCTGCCATGGCTTCTCCCCCGATCTCTGAGATCTGAGATATCAAACTCGAGGACGACGAATGCCTCGAGGAGAAGCTTATCTGGCCTTTCATCCGGCTGCTGGACGGATTGGGTTCTCCGTTGGAACAGTTTCCGGACCTAAACCCTCCGATTCCGCTCAACACAGAGAAATCTACAGAGATCGATACAGTTCATGGCTGGAATCACCGCCAGAATAAAGGTTGGCGGAGGATATGCGATTGAGTGGCGAAGGTTTTACCATTCTCCGCGCTCAAGAGGGAGAAAAGGCTCGCCGGAGAACTGCTCTGCCGGATTGGAACAGATCTTCTGGTGCCGCTGCTCTCCCGCTCGCTCTCCATGGACGTCGAGGTCGCCACGCGGTAGGATCCCTCCAGTGCCGCCGGAGAACCGGAGGCGTGGTAGGCGGCGACATGCGGAGCAGACGAGGGGAAGCCGCCATTCTGTTGGTGAGAGGCCTCCCCAACCTCTTGCTCAATCTCCGGTAAAAACCGGATGCTCTTGTGCGGGGACGACTTCTCCCCGATCTGGTCCCGGAGATCCGGGGACATGAATCTGGTGAACATAGTCTCTGCCTCTCCGGTGGACGATCGGTGAGGGAAGAAACTCTCGCACATCTCCCCCAGCAGAGAACTCGGCGCCGATCGATATCGCAGCAGGCCACTGCTCATCTGCTGCTCCTGCTGCTGTTGGTTCTGGCCAAGGTCAGACTCCTCCTTCCCCTGGTTGATCGATGCCGCCGGAATTCTAAGATTCAGGTCCTTAGAATTCGCCGGCGATCCGTACATCATTCCGCTCTCCCGCCTAAAATTTTCAATTCCTACCTTCCGTTCTCTCCGCTTCTTCCTCCCTCCGACTGTAATCCCTCGAGGAGTACGCAGACTTCACAGAGCAACTAAACAACTCCTCCTCCCAGGCTCCCGCACCAGCTCCACAGATCTATCTCCACGAGCGCTCTCAAACCCGGCGAGAAACCCTAATTCACCCGCGGCGAAGGCTTCCGCATCATCGCCATCGGAGATGCTCCTAGAGGCCGAGAAAAAGCTCGCCGCCGCCGTCCCCCGTTCCCTCCTCCTGTCCTTTAGATCGTCCTCATACCAGGAACGAATCTAGGCAAACGACATCCGCCTGGTCTTCTACCAATCTTGCGGGATGCTCCTAGAGCTCCCTTCTCCTCCACTCCTCCGATCTCGTCCGTTACTCCCACGAAGAAGAAATAAAAAACTCGACAAGCTCTTAAAAAAAATTTGCTCCTCTGCGATCCTCTCTGTCCGCACCCTGTGTTAAATACTCTCCCGTTCTCCTCTATCCCTTTCTCACCCTTCTCCCCCGACTCCGGCGACGGCGCCGGAGTTGTGGAAGCTTGTGGCCGGAGCAAGATCGACCGTCGCCGGAGAAGAAGGCGAAAACGAAACGCGCAGGAACAGGGAGCAGAGTTTGACTCGGATCTTCTTTACGCTCTAACGTTAAAAGCTATTTTTAAACGGAAATCGATCCACGTAGTAAAAAAAATAAAATAACGGGCGGCCCGATTTTCCACGTATTTTCTGGTATATTTAATTCATTCTATATTTGTCTGGGCGGGAATACGCTCGTCCAATGGCGAGAAGCGGGCCCCGCCACATCAGCCACCACATCATCCATGATTTGGGTTCCGGCCTTTTTTAATGAGCGACGTGGACGGCCACAGCGCCGAAGGCATCTGCGGGATTGACTTTTGCCGACGTGTCTCGTCAGATAGGATTCGGACGGTTGTGATTGGGGGAGGAGGGGGGACCCGAGGAAAGTCACCGTCGTCGACCGCTATCAAAAAGTCAACATCAGTACACGTCGCCAGTCCGCGGAAAATTAGCTCTCTCTCTATCTCTAGAATTAGATGTAGCCGGATGGCTGTGGTGAGCTGGTTGGGGTGGGCCCAAGTTTTATAGTCTGCGGTGGGTTTCGAGCCGGCCCGGACCGTCTCGGCCCGTCTCAGCCCGAAGGGTTGACTCTCTATCTTGCCCTAGCGCCGCCAAAAGGGCGCAGGGACGTGCCGAGAAGAGTAATTTATAGCAAATATCCGGAAATATATTTTTTATTACCGATCTGCCCATCGCTATTTAATTCGGCATGCCTGATTTACCGTTACTGAGGGAAAATCATTCTTTACCGCGCCGCCGGCCCTCCTTAGGGCAACGTCACGGCTACGTCTTTTTCCAGGGATCCCGGGTATACCTACAAATAGCAAAAAGCGAAGAGATATTCCGACATCTTACAGCTGGACGTAGGTCCCCCTCCCCCCGTTCCAGTAGCAGAATAATCCTGCTTAAGATATGTATTTGGATAACTGTCCCTCAGTGAGGGCCCTACCACAGTTTTCTGGGTTTCAGTGAAAAATGGGCAACATCAAGCAACCGACTCAATCTGCGTATAAGGCTTTGTCTGGAAGTTAGTTAGATCGAAAGCTGGAGATCTATTCATAAAAGGTGGCTATCTGCAAATCAGCCACGTCATGATTTCTCTCACTGTCACATGACGCTTCTCACGATCAACGAAGCGGAGTTCGAGATTTCAGGTGACCTGACTCGTAGGAGCTTGCGTCCGTTGTCGTCAGGCAGCAATGAGAGAGAGAGAGAGATGACGGCCACACCCTTCCCAGCACTGAGTCGGAAATATCGTCTCTCTCTCTCTCTCTCTCTCTCTCTTCTCGAATCATCACAGACTTGACGGCTGACTCTATTCTTGTTCGTATGAAGCACAGTAACTCCCGTAGGCGTTACATACCAAAAGACTAGGGGAGAGAAACCTGTGAAAATCATATCACCACGTATATTATAATAAATATCCAAGTAAATGGGGCCTGACATGTCTGGCCCATTTTCTAAACCTCTCTATGGCAAGAACATGCATTATGAGGGCCCTACTCGAACCCATGTATGTGACCACCAAAGCACATGTGAGACCCTCAGCTTCTCATATTTTGGTTCGAGACATGGAACTGCACCGCAGGCGTTGGACCGGATGGTGGTCAGTGTCAGCACACATGGTGTGTGCAGACGTTTGCCAGGTCATGACATGACACGCATGGAGCTATGCCATGTATGCAGCAGCACATTGTGACACCACATGACATGATGGCCACATGACAGAGACAAAGCATGGTCTCATGAGTTTGTGTGGAGGCAAAACAAGGGGTAAACAACACGTAGGAGACAATGTGGGCATAGAGCATCAATGGGCACGTAAATGCAGAGTGATTGTGGGGGGGCATGCGGAACACCAATCAACGCACACGGGCACATCCAAATGACAGAAAACATAGGGGCCAGCTATCTTAAGGCAAAGTGTGTTATGATACTTCACCTACCCCACACTTCTCTCTAAATAGATGGGACCTACATCATCTAATATGGTGAGTAACATACACAAGCTTTTTTATCTCTTGTACATAATGTGAAGTAGTACCTTTCTCTTCATTTTTATGCTTATGTGAAGTTATTTACTGTTGATGAAATGTCTGAGTTGACATGTGGTCCAGCGTTTCAGAGGTATGTTTATACTGATCATGTCAACGAGATGGTGGCTCAAGAGATAATGATGGTAAATTCTTCTTAAGTACTAAAGTGTGTTGCAACAACATGTCAATAATATCAAGAGGATCATAGAACCAAGGTAATCACATAGAGGTCAATATCAACGGTCAACCCACTATCATGATAATCAATACTGGGACTATTCACAACTTCCTCTCGAAAATGGAGACATCTTGACTGGACTAACATGATCAATGTCATCAACTAATGCTGTCATGAGTGGATATTCAAATCAAGTTCATCAACAAAGTGGCATCTCCGTTTGTTGATTCATCCATGGGGCCTTGTTGAAAGTCATAATGTAAAAATATGTCTTTTGATTTCATGATACTATCAATAGACATTTTTAAGGCAATCCTCATAGCAGATTTCTCAATGCAATGACAAATAAGAGTTTTCTCTCATCCACATAACATTATTTTGCAAACGTATTAAGCATGTATTTCATTCTAAGAGTATGAGAGGCTTGATAAAGATTGTTAATATTGTCATCATTGCAGCTCTAAGACGACCTGGAGAAGGACAAGAAGACCTACTTCATAACCCTTCAAGAAGAAAACTAGCTCTCTCAAATTTTTGGGCCAACAAGAGATAGTAAATGCATAGCATAAGTGAGACTTACGCATCTTGACCATGTAATTAATTTCATGTTCTACATATGGGTACTTAGCATCACTATATAAATTGTCCTTGTCATGGTTGGATGAACTATGGTGATAATCATATAAACTATTGAAGGAAAAGTGCATCCACTATTTAAAAGCACCATATGGTATTTCTGTCCTCTTCTAGAAGAAGGAAGTTTTTATACAATTATGTGTAGACTATCAGACCTTTAATAAGGTAACAGTGAAGAATTAAAACCTAATAATTCATAAAAATAAATTATTTTAATAGGATAATTTATAGTTGTCTATTTAGATGACACACTCTAAATTAGTGTTAGGTAAGTTAAAAAAAACTAGTTATATTTCAACCTCACGAATGTGAGTTCTTGTCACAAAAGGTCATTTTTCTAAATCATATCATTGAGTACGATGTGTGAATGGATCAAGAAAAAGTTTGATATGAAGCTGTATATCATAACTAGAATTCTTTATAAATTTTGGTGGACTTCTAACGAAAGTTTGAGCGGAGTTAATTAGTAGCTATGTTAAGCAATCTTTTAAAGAAAGGTGTAAATAGGGAGTAGTTCAAGAGGTGTGATTGAGACTTTGACAGCCCATTAATAGTGCACACTAATACGCCAAACCTGATTATTGACAACATGTTGATATAAAAGAGCACCCTCTGATATTCAAAAGCTAGAAGTTGAATGTCACGAGAAAATATTATTATATACAGAAGAATGAAATGATGTTAGTTGTGTATTTGCCTTTATGTATGGTCACATTACCTTCTAGACATTATTTTTTTTTGTCAACATAGACATTGTGGTGATGAGTTATTCTGAAATATTTAATGTCATAAGATTTTTGACTGAGTATAATTAGCATAAGTTGGGACTTGCCAACATTGTCAAATGTCTTTAATTGCAAATAGTAAAAAACAAGGACTATAATAACTGTCACATATAGAGATATGAGAATCATGGTATGAGCGCCAATGGAGATCCAAAAATATATTATTTGAGAGATAAGTAAGTAATATGTCTAATGCAAATGACAACCATAGGCGGGATATGTAATTTTATGGGTGGAAGACAGACATCTTCTACGCACACAAGCATTATGTAAACATGTGGTGCAAGTCAATGAATTACTATCTTTTTATGAGAGTCATGGTATGAATGCATGGTCACACACCACACCATACATCAAACACCTTTCATATGAGCGGATGGTCACACGATTTTCTTGCAGCTGTTTTTGTCTAAGTATGGTACAAGAAGTCAATTACATTTGATCATATTTAGTCAACGCAGCAAACACCTAAGAGTTGATACCTCTTTGACAAACAAACAAAGTAGCACTGTGGGCTGGTGTATATCCCTTTCAAAGTAGTTGCACACGTATCTTCATTGGCCACTATCCACTGTACACACGCAATCTATTGATGGGGGTGAAGCTATCTTAAATGCAAAAGACATTAATACAAGGTGATCAATTCTACATAAATTATAATGTTTACTTTTTCAAAGTGAAGAGACTGACCAAAAAAGGATGCAACATAAGAACAGATCCATCTATAGTAGTTTGAAGATCCCATCAATAATTACGTCAAAGGTGTGACATCATTCGGACCGTGTGAACAGGTCAACCGTCTGAAGTTGAAATGTCACAAGACATTTCGTAATGGACACTCTATTGAGTGTCAAAAGACACTTCTCCTACCCCCCACTCTCTTATAAATAAAGGGACCGTACAACATTAAAGTGGTGAACAACGATCACTCAGACGTTTGCCTCTCTAGTGCTTCTCGGTGTGAATTAGTATAGAGAGAGAGAGAGAGAGAGAGAGAGAGAGAGAGAGAGAGAGAGCGAGAGAGAGAGAGAGAGTCACTCACATTGGGAACAGAGATGCAAGAGCATAAGACTATGATAAAATGTTCCACTGCAGCAGGATGTAGATCACAACGAGTCGTTCAAAGGAGCAAGCCCTCTTGGGCCCTGCCACAAGAATCACACCCCCTGGGCGTTTATCTTGGCCCAGGTGACCTGATCAATCAGTAATACGCCTTCCGGGGATTGTTCTGCCAACAAGCGAGTGGGAATTATTAGGTGGGAGGGGCATTCGACGGGCCGGGCCCAGTTGGTTTCCATATACATGATAAGATATGGAAATAAAATGAAATGAGATGAAATGAAATCGTATCCTCCTCACCAGGGGGTTCGGTCGGTAGCGGTACCCGAGCATCATCCGCTTCTTGTACTGCTCGTAGATGTCGTCCTCGGCGGTGACCTCCCCAGGCTGCTCCGCCCCGACGCCCAGGTTGTTCAGCTTGATGTTCCCTGCCGCCACAGGCTCTGCCCGGCCGCTCCTCGAGCTGCCCAGACCCTCCCCTGTCGTTGCCGCATGGATAATCAAGCAAGGTCTGCGGAGAAAATGGAATATGGGAGACCAGGGAACCCACCTTCCTTCCAGCCCATCTTGGATAAGAGTTTGTGACCGACGTTGTCCGCCTGGATCTTGGCCTTCTCGGCAGCCTCTTTGGCTGATTTCAGTGCGACCGCGTCGTTGCAGTTCGACATGAACTTCTCAAGCTCCTCCGGGGGGATGAAGTCGCCCATGTGGTGCCCCTTCTTCATCGGCCCCCCTAATGGGGTCAAATCAAAGCAAGAAGTAAATATTCAGAAAAAAATTTAATGGGAAATATGTGAAAAAAATTGACTTTTGGCATTCTCTCTCTTCCCCCCCATCCCCCAATAACCACTGGGGAGTGCTTTCATAATTCTGTGGGGATATTCCTGATTGAGAAGGAACCTTGGAGGGATGCAGGGGGGGGCATCTCGTCCATGGATTGCTTAGGTTGCCGCTTGCGCTCCTCTTGGGCCGCCTTCTTCATGTAGAATTCCATCATTGCGATAGGATCGGTTGGGGGTGGTCCACTGGTTTCAGCTGTCAAAGAAAGATTTCCCGTTCCATTAAATAAAAATAATAATAATCAGAACCCAGAACGCTCAATGTATGATATATAGGGAAGGCCAATGCAATGCTCTTCGTCCTCAACCTCAGGCACCATATTGATCCAATAAAGATTTATCTATGAGGTTAAGAGTTGGTAGTCAAGAAGGTGAGGGAGGAACATACCAGATGAGCCCTCATTTCCATCATATAAAGCGGAAGCTGGGGTTTGATAATTGGAATGCTGATGAGAGCCACTTCTTTCGGATCCGCCCTGCATTCTAGAGGTTGCAGGGCGTGAAGTTCCTGATGAAGGAGAGATAATCCAACAGCATGTTAATGAATAGATCCTCAATATATATGACAAATAGGCTACAGGGATGGCCCGTGCAGTTTGAAGATAGAAAGCACAAACCAGGCCGGGTTGCTTGAGACTCCTTTTGTTGTGCGAGCAGCTTCTCTTCTTCAAGGAGACGATATTCATAGTATTTATAGTCGGCACTGCTCAGATCAAATAGAAACCTGGCAAATTAAATGCACACGGTGAAGAACTTTCTCTGTGGAAAACTCCTTCTGAAGCTCTCAATAAATAAATGCAAAATCTTGCGAGTCTCACAGTAGGAAAAACAAATACAGAAAAAATTAAACCCGTCCAATCAACTGGGAATAAACGGAAGAATTGCTAACTCGCATTGAAAATATATTGATTCATTATAAAAAAAGTATATTCTTTGTGTTTTTTTGCGAAGATAATGAGACAACTATCAATTGAAAGATATAAACACGCTGTAACTTGGGGTGGATGGTCCCACGCACATAGTGGGCATGCGAATACATGACGCATGACAACGCTCCATATTAAAGAAAAACATATATGGCAATATTGGTTTTGCTATTTCAGGCATACGTCAACAGTCCTACAATTTACTTTTAATCAGCAATTTTCTTCACGGATAAAATCATAGCAGATGGGAAGAAAAAACCTTTTGTCAGACACAGTAAGGTCAGAATATTGAAACGTCCAAATGCCATCCAAGAGGCATGAGAGGAACCACGTGGAGGCTAAACGTAGATAGGAAGATTTGAAGAAGAATTGGGGAATGAAAGGTAAGAGGGCATGGGAAAATGGTCATGCCAGAGTACAGAAACATGGATAGCTAGTGAACGATAAGATGCTGACAGAACAAGAGAAGGACATGAAATATTAGCTTTTCCATGACTAGTCTCCTCATTGAGAAAGCTTCGAAGTGACCCTTGAAAGGTTCATAATGTCTATGGAACAGAGCAAGAAGATAAAATCGTTCAGGTCTGAAAGACATAATAGAGGCAGTTGAGAAATTAATAAGCACAGCGTTCTTTCTGATAGTAGAACGTACTTAAATGGTGTGTCTCCTGGATTTCTCTGGCGTGTAATGTTTTCAAATTGTCTCCCATTTTTTGCAACAAAACCGGCCAACTTGTCAGCGACATTCCTCACTGCAAGATCACTTGGAGGGGCTGGTACTGCATGTCACTTAAATAACTGATTAATGCCAACACCATTAACAATGAATGCAAAGTACTCGTTGCAACAGGTGCGAGCCACATTTTCCTACTCTTTCAACTAACATCTCTTTCCACCAATGTTGATAGACAATTAAGACGTCAGCTGCATTCATGGGACAGAATTTTCAACAATTTCCAACTCATTAGTTTTATCAACTCCAGAATCGTGAAGATGAGAATGCCAAAAGTTAACTTGCGTCTGAACAATATAAATTTTCAAAGATTATCAAATCAAATAAAAACTATGAACTGACTTAAAGCAAATCAATACTTTACAACTGGGAAGGCTCTATTCCTATATGTGCAACTATGCAAAGAACCACATCATCTTTCTGAAAGTTACTAATCTAAGGCCTCCATTATAACCATATACAAGAGAACAAAAGGAATTTACGTGGACCATGCATCCAGGATCTATCTACACTACAGGGAGTACCCAACAGCTAAACGCTGGAATTGAAACTAACTCTAAGCACTCATGGGCGACTATCACATGTGGATAGACATTAGTATTCAAGAGAACAATCATCAAGTTTGCATTGTTTACCGTTGTAGACAGCTGAATTGAAGACACCTAAGGAATAAGGGTTCGAATGAACATACATATACATAAGTATGATATAAAGCAAGATAAATACGAGGGAAAACAAAGGCTAAAGACTGGCGGGAAAAACAGGGATCGAACAGAGTATCAGAGAAGGAATGAAGCGAAGGCTCGTGCTCAGTAAATGAATGCACTTCACGGGCCGTGCATTTATATAGTAAATGAATGTACTATATAAATGAATGCATTTATATAGTAAATTTTTAGGGAGAACTCATGACTAAAACAGAAGCCCATTTGAAATTTTAAAGAGCAATCAATAAATAAATAAATGATGAAAGGTCAGTAAATCAATGAAATGGTGAATATACCCTTCTTCCACTTCAAAATAAATTTAGCATAGTGGCACAACAACAGATTTAATCAAATCGAGAAAACATGTCACTAAAATAAATGTTGATGGAAACGCATGACATAGCTCAATCATAAGAAATGCGGATTCCTCATTGGTTAACATGTTCGTGCACTGAACACAAGCATTAAAATCAGCATTACCAATCAGGCTCTGGTTGAAGTAGAGCAGTCACTCAAACCATACAAATTATCTGTAGATATTACCTACACTCTACAAGGAAATAAAAATGAAGATAAGTGGAAAATTACCGAAAACATCCACACGTCCTGATGATCCACTGGAGGAATCAGGTTGACCTGACTTCTGCCGTTTGGCTGATACTTCAGTGGCCACATTTTCAGCATCTTCTTCAGGCTCATCTTCATCGACACCTAGTTTAACAGGTGCTACAGAAATTTTTGACTTCTGTTTCAAGCTGAAGGCAAGCTTCCCACCTGAAGTAGATAGGCTAGGCTTCTTCACATTATTAGGCTTAATATCCAATTGCCTCTTATTCAAGAAAGTGTTGGCTGTGTTGGCCTTCATTGACGCAGATAAATTAGGCGTCATCGATTTTGGCTCCTCTTTTGATGAACTCTTCTCCTGGTTTTCTTGCTGAAGCTGTATAAACCTTTCCATGAATGAGCCATCATTCACAAAAAGTTCAGATGAAGTTCCCTTGTCCATCGTGGAAAATATTATAAAGAATCTCGGAATAAGATAGTCCCTGAAATCCTCTCAGTACTATCAATTATCTTGGATTTCCAGCCTTCTGAAAGTCTATGCCTTCTGCTTAAATGTAATTGTCATAATCCACTCTCATCGGTTGAGAAATGCTGCACAGCTTAAATTTTCGTCAGGAACATATTTTACCGAGAAAATTTTAAAAAGTGTAATCAAACACCTTTAGGCCTACGCAGATACTTATTGACACAATAAACCGCATGCTTCCAAGAGAGAGGATAGTTCATAAAACATGGAAAGGCACTTGATAAAATATGTCATATTACATAATTAGATATTCAACTAGCCCTGAGTCTCGTACATCATATGCATAATAAGTTCCAGGTAGTAAAAAAACCTTTGGGAAAATAACGAATCTATATGGTAGAGCCGTGATGGTTTGGAGACGAACAAAGAAGACGAAGTTTACTTTGAAAAAATAAGTCGGAATGAAAAAAATAAGGGCAACCACTGATTAAGAAAGCCTATCTTGTCCCAGAAGATTGCATACGAAAATATCCACACGATGATGAACTATTAGGAAAACTAAAATGTAGCTACATATAGAAGACAAAGTGACAATGTACAGCAATCTAACCAATACTAATCTGCCAATGGAACACCCATCAGTTTCTGAGAGAACCATTCCCAGAGATGCAGGATATTCGTAAGTAAAAAAATTGCATGTATGAATCTGATAATCGTCAGAATATATTTCCTGCAATAAACATTTCTTCTTCTACATATATGCATACCGCCCCAGGTAAATAAATAATTTCTTCATGGATTCAAAAGAATTAAGTCAGTATTGACAGGTATTCTTCGTGGCCTAGATGTCAGATAATCCGAAGATTATGAAGGCAGGAACAAGTTAATGTCAGAAGAGGATAACTGCTGCCACTACTCCAAATTCAGGGAATTGGAACTTTCTACCTATAGTTACCAGCGCATACCTCCACTCGAGGCTGTACAGACGGGATCATTCCTGCACATAGAAGGCCCAACTTAAAAAATTACATGGGCTTGGTATGCAGGATCATATCCTTTTTCCCTGAGTAATTCTTCTCTTCATTCCTAACCGAATATTGTAGACTGTAACTTGTTGATGCTTCAATTCTAATCGGTTGATGTTTCAATGCGCGTCGGATTTTTCGCAATATTCCAAGAAAATTACTGGGCAGACATCAGTTTAGTATTTTATACATGGGAGCCCAAGCCACATGAAGTACTGTAATATTCATTGCGAAATCTCTATTTAATGATATGAAAAAAGTGTGTACGTGTAAATATATTAATAGAAGAGATATCAACTGAAAGGAGAGCAATACTCGGTAACATAGAAAAGAGATACCAAGGCAGGATTGGATATTGCCATAACTTAGATATAATGCCGACATTCCATGGCACGATTAAACAGAGACTACAGAACAGAATCTTTCAGGCTCCCATTCAAAACATCGTTCTCAAAATCATCTCAGACAATATTAAGGCGCCATTTAATAAAATTCAATCAGCATCTTCAGCGTGGTGAAGCAGTGAGGCACCCCCATTTCAGACCTTTTCTATGAACTTTCTGAAGGGAAAACCGTAGAAACCAAGGAAAATCCTCCGATGAAGTAAGCCAGACGCGGCGCTAATCGATACAGAGATGAATCTGGCCGTTGAAACTTCAGCGGGATCACAAGCACCTAAATCAGAAAAATTGTGAAACTAAAGAAAATTCCTTGCACCGCGGTCTTATAATATTCGATTTCCAGTAAGGATGAATCATTTCAGAAAACCCTAATTCTAAAAATAAATAAAAAGGAGAGGATGCAGAATGGAATGGAGACACAACGAGGGACATCTCCTCCCGGAGATCATTCCCTCACCTCCTCGAGAAAGAAAATATAAATCCCAAGGACTCACCGTATCCCGAATCCGCCGTCGTCTTCGATCGCCAGTTTCCACGCGGCGGAAGAATCGTATTGGCCGGGAGAAGAGGGGAGCAATTTCCTAAGAGAAGAACCGATCGCAAGCGCAGAAGCCAAGGCACCACGACGCTAGAGGCGGACCGGGTCCGACCCCAAAAGGGAGACAAATTCCCCTCCTGCGGAACCGACCTAGGTCAGTACGAGTTCTGCAGAGACGAGTCTCGTAGACAAACGAACAAGAGGACCAGAAAAGAGAGGCGCAGACGACAACGTTCTGCTCACTCGCATGACAGTTTAGCCCATATCATGGGCCCACTCTGGGCCAACTCGCTTACCGGCCCAATAACTTCCAACTTTTATGTGAGCCCGGCGGAGGCGAATCTCCCAAGCGTACGCCGACCATTTCAGCTAGCAGAGTACATGGTCAATTATGAGGTCGATGCAGGAGAAGGATCCGAGATCGAACGGCTAAAATTGAAGACGCACAGAAGCGCGCATCCCTGCTCGCATCAGTGTTGGTGCAAATTTTTGGACGTGGGCCGTCAAGAACCGGCCATGTGATGGACCAGAATCGTGGGAGGGGACAGGACCCACCAGATGGACGGTCAGATACGAAAATTATACCTATTGAATGCGCACGTGCCTCGGGAAGATTTTTGGAAGCGACATTTGGAATGGCTATTTCGTATTTTATATCAATCATCGGGACTAATTGACAGGCCTCTGTGTTGTGGTATAAAGACCAGGGTGCCTTAGCTACCGTTTCGCAGAAAGACACTCTCCAGTGGTGCCACCGGCCATGGCGCTTCCTTTCATCGTCCTCCTTGTCCTCTTCGCAGCAGCTCCGGAGGTTGTCAGGTGTTGCACACCTTCCGATCTCCAGGCTCTCCTCGCCTTCAAGGCCGGCCTCAAGGACCCGAACTTCGGCGTGTTCTCGACGTGGAAGGGCTCGGAATGCTGCTCAAAATGGTACGGCGTCAGCTGCGACATGTCCGACGGCCGCGTCGCGGGGATCAACCTCCACGGAGAGGCGGTGGATCTGGATTCCTCCATGCTCCCGCGGAGGGTGAGATTCATCACAGGATCTATCTCGCCGGCCATCTGCCGCCTGGACAGGCTCAGCACTTTCATACTCGCCTACTGGCGCAACATCAGCGGTCCGATTCCCCCTTGCATAACCTCCCTCCCGATGCTCCGCATATTTGACGTCGTCGGCAACCAGCTCTCCGGTCCGATCCCCGGCGACATTGGGAGGCTCTCCCGTCTCACTGTCTTCTCCGTTGCCGACAACCAGATCTCCGACCAGATCCCGCGATCCCTTACCAACCTCGCTTCTCTGATGCACCTCGACCTGAGCAACAACCGCATCACTGGCGATATCCCGGTGACGTTCGGCAAACTTGGAATGCTGAGTAGGGCGCTGCTTGCGAGGAACCAGCTCACCGGCGCCATCCCTCCCTCGATCGGATACATGGAACGGCTCGCCGATCTGGACCTGTCCGTTAACCGAGTCAGCGGGACGATCCCCAACACGCTCGGGAAGATGCGAGTGCTATCGTCGGTGTACCTGGACTGCAACGCCCTATCCGGAGCGATCCCGCCGACACTCCTCTCCAGCCACGGCCTGAACATTCTGAATCTGAGCCGGAACGCGCTGGAGGGAACCATCCCGGACGTCTTCATCGCACAGTCTTACTACACGGCGCTGGACCTGTCATACAACCGTCTGACAGGCCCTGTCCCCAAGACGCTGAAACTGGCGTCCTACGTCGGCCACCTCGACCTCAGCAACAACAACCTCTGCGGCCAGATCCCTGCGGGGGAGCCCTTCGACCACCTCCAGTCCTCCTCCTTCGCCAACAACCACTGCCTCTGCGGGGGGCCGCTCCCGAAGTGCCAACCCTGACGCCTTCTATCTCCGAGAACACGCGACGAGCCAAGCCAAGCCGCCTCAGGCGCACCACCCTAGACCTTACCGTCAGATCTCGATCAGACGGGTAATGTCAACTTCCTCCTCTCCCTTTCTTTTTTCCTAGTGGCTCTGTTTAAGTTTATGCCTGACGACCGCGTGAGACCCGGCGGCCGCCCACGGATAAGACGGAATGTTGTGTGATCTGTCCCGACCATCGTAGAATTCCCGAATGGAAGAAGAAAAACATTGGATATGAGGAAGGACCTGCGATCGATGAGGGTAGGAGAAAGAAACCCTAATCACGCTCCTCCTCAGGGGGGGCCGGGGGTGGGGAGCATGTTATCAGATAGCCCTGACACCCTGCACATGGTTTCTGGATTTGCTTGATTGGCCCCCACGTGGCGCGCGCAGACGCCGGGAAACACATACCATGGGGGACGATTAGATGTGCCCGAGACCAACGGAAGAGTCGGCTTAATCAGAGTCGGTCGTCGTCCGTATTTGCCTCGATTTCCTAGATTTTTGGGCTGGTCAACCAAGTCTGCGTCTCTGTCGCGTCTACCACCAGGCCGGGCCCAAGAATTTAATGCCACTGGAGGGCCCGGCTTTGGCAGAAAGAACGGCCAAACTAGAAGAGAGAGAGAGAGAGAGAGACTGTCAGAGAGTGGTCCGGCTACATCCAGAAGACTAATTGCGGGCTGAGCTGGGTCGTTTCGGGCCACATTTGCTTCATTGGCCCGGTTCCTCAAAGCCCACGTCTCCTCACGTGCGAGGGCGGTGGCATACCTCTCCTCATCCTGATACGACTTGACGTCGAGCAGATATACAAATAGGGAAAAGCGGACCGGGTGCGTGAATCGTGGCTCAATAATGCAACCGCGAGACGGCGATCACGTGACCTCCACGAAGGGGTGGGAATAACCAAGCACGTGTACCACCCGATCATTCCATAGCCAATCATTCACCACACCTCAGCCGCCATTTTTAATCCTCACGATCGAATCCTTCCGAAAATATGGGTAATTTTTTTTTCTCAAATTAGCTTTTCTAAAAAAAGATATAGGCCCATTTGCCATCTTGATGGGCCCACCGGAGGTCAACTCTCTTTCAAGATGAGATAGCCTCATTTCTCAATACTTACGTGAATATTGACAGCATGTATATAAGGTTTTTGTCGTACATTTCTTCCGCGGCCAGCCGTGGGCCTTCTTCTAGGCTCCGGGTTTTAATGCTCAACTGATGAGATTTCCACGGCGGCGCCGCCGCCGCCGCCGCCGGAAACGGCGCACTGCGGAGAAACCAGTGGCGCCGGGCGGTGATGCCATTACGCGAGGAAGAGGATAAGATGAAGACCAGACCGCCGCCACAGAGTCAGAGAGAGAGAGAGTGGGGAGGGGGGGCCCGTCGGGTGACCATAATGGGCCGTCCAGATTAATGCCAAAAGTGTGGGCCCATGGATGTATGGACCCTACACACCGACTTTGGGCCAATTTTTTTGCTGGGCATTTAAACACGGCCCACGCCATGAAGGATGCATTAAGCTTGCCGAAGGTTTTCAAGTGGGCCACACTAAGTCGGCCCATTTAGAAAAGCTTTTTTAAATGGCCAGGAAAAGTGGGCCGGCTCAGTATGGGGCTTTAATAATGAGCCTACTTTTGGAATGCTTTGAAGGATAAATTTTCGTGCATAGGTGTAAATGCATTGAGAATTATAATTTTTGAAATTTATAATATATTTTATTTTTAAAAAAATACTTTGAAGCCCAAACCTCAGGCTTGTAAAACCGAATTAGAATCCGACTCGGTTTCAGGCCCATGTTGCCCGAATACAAAGCGGGTACCCGATGTACCGTAGTGGAATCCGAAATCTCTACTGGGCAGGTGGGGGAGGATCGGGGCACCGCCACCCGAAGAAGATTCCCATGGATTCGGCTGGAAAGTTTTCGAACTCCAGCGCATAAAAAGGGTAGCGATGTGGAGGGAGGGGGGTGAGGTAAGCTCGGTCGGCGTGACCACATCCGTACATGATTACCCCCTGGGCCCAGGGATTGTGCGGCATGGATACATCCAACCCAAGGGACCACCAATCGGACGGCAAAAAACTCGGGAGACTCGGCGTCACGTACGGGGCGAGAAATCGGCGCGCGTTACCCAAGGGGATTGGCTTTCCTTCCATCTTGAGACACGTGCCCGTTCTCGCGTGCGGAGGCCGGCCCACATGTGCGGTGCGAAACTGACACTAGCCGGTGCGAGGCGTCGGGTGGCTCAGTGGTTATTAATGCGGCGGAAAATGACGTGTCGGTGGCGCGCTAGGCCGAGCCGAGGACGGTCCCCGCCCTGCTGAACCTGCCTGCGACGTTGGCCCGATACAAAGCGCCACGCACTGAGCCTGGTCCATCCGATTTGATTGGTCAATATGCGCGTAAAATCCTCGAGAAAATTTTCTTACGCAGAAATACACCTGGAGGGGGAACAATTAGGTAGAGAAGCTGACATCTGCGTAAATTACAGCGACGGCGGGTGGGGCGATCGACCTCTATAAAGTGCTAGGCCTCACCTTGATTGCGGTGTTTCTCTAGTTTCGAGAACCAGAGTGCTGCTACTCCCTCTACGGCGAGGAGAGAGGGAGAGGGAGAAGAGAGCTTCGGTTGCTACTGCTGCTGCTGCTGCTGCTGCGGCTGCTGATCCGTCCGAGCTTCTTCTGAGAGAGGATGTAAGGTTTGTGCGTTCAACACGGTAGGGAATTCAGGGGAATAGGTGAGGAATTTGTGAATTCTAGAAGGCGGTCTGGGAGGGAGGAATTTGGGGATTAGCGCCGGTGGTGGTGCTCGGAATGGATCCGGGGCGGAGCTCGGGCGATCGATCTGGGAATTCCGGTGAGTATGGTCATGAGATCGCTGAGAGCCTGCGGTTCCAGGAGGAGATCCAGAGCTTGATGACGGAGAACGAGTCCGGAGCCGAGAATGGGAGCTCCTTCACGGCGCTTCTCGGCTTGCCGCCGAACCAGGCAATGGAGCTACTCCACGATTCGGAGATCGGCGACTCTCCGGCTGTCTCGCCGCCAGGGGGTTGTCCTATTTGGCGGCTTCTGGTGGATGATCCGAAGGGCCTGGCTGGTTTTCCCCTCGGTACCGTGCCGACATTTCCTTCCAACACCGACCTCGTTGAGCGGGCGGCGAGGCTCTCCGTCTTCGCCGCTGAGGACTCACCACAGACGAGCTCGTCGAAGGTGGTCAAGACTGAACCCGCCGTCTCAGATTCGAACCCTGATTCCTCTCCTGCCAGGGAACCGCAGCTCCGGCCGCCAAAGAGAAAGGAGCCAGAGAAGAGCAAGGTAGCGGCGTAATTAGGACTACGGCTGAACCCTATCGTCTCCATTCTTGCGAACCACTGTTGTAGAGCTCCCATCACAGGTGACATTCCGCGATCTGGTGTAGGCCAAGGGATCCGCGAAGAGATCGAAGAGCAGCCTGGAGAAGAGTGTCCCGAAGCCCACGGAAGAGAAGCTTCCCTACGTCCACGTCCGGGCTCGGCGTGGGCAGGCCACTGACAGCCATAGCTTAGCCGAGAGGGTACTCAATCCTCGCCGTCTCGTCCTTCCCCCCTCGCTGAAAGCAACATTTCTTTCCTGCTTACCGCCTCAAACTACGATCTCCGTCATAAATTTCGTCCGCAACACACTTCATATGATATCACTGACTGCTTCGTATACCGCGCATCTCAGGCGAGGAGGGAGAAAATAAACGCCCGGATGAAGCTGCTACAAGAATTGGTCCCCGGCTGCAGCAAGGTCCCCCACCCCTCGCCTTCTCTCCTCTTCCTCCCCTTTTCTACTCATCATTTTGTGCGTGAAAGCTTGTTCCCTGCCGTCTACTTCCGCCTGCTTTCCGCAACGCTTCGAAGTTTTTCCTCCCTGATGCCGTGATTTAGGGTAGACGACGGACGAGTATCTCTAGCCGCCATCGGTTTTCAGCTTTTCTACGGGCCTCTCCCTCAGTTATTGCGCTTCTCCGCCTGGTTTTTACTTTCCCAGAGATCAGAAGGTGTTTTCTGTAAAAGGTCCCAATCCCTGTGCAATTCGCGGCCGGAGATGGCGGGTCCTGTTTGGCCGGGGTCCCTCGAATCCCGGTGGATTTCGCCGAAAGCAATCGGTCGGTCGCCGTTCGGGTCCTTGTCGGGTCCCCTGGGCCCACTTTATCATCTTCCTAACCCACCGCTCCCCCTTCCGCATCTTCTTCTTTCTGTGCACAGTCTTTCCGCCTTCTTGTGTCATCTACCGCCTTGGAAATTATCTCCGACGACGACTGCTCCCCCGTCCTCGCTAGGCGAAGCCGCGGAGGCAGTCGGGGGTGGCGTGGGGTTGGAGATCTAACAAGAGGGTTCGTCTTTGTTGTGGCAGATCTCTGGTACGGCGCTGGTGCTGGACGAAATCATCAACCACGTACAGTCTCTACAGCGGCAGGTTGAGGTATGATTAGACGTCCGCCTACTCATGATCGGGGCCGGAGGAGGCGGCTACCGTCGGAGAAAAGGTCTCTGTGGGAGCGGTGGATTAATGGCGGCTCCGTCGTTCGTCTCTTGTGGTCGCAGTTCTTGTCGATGAGGCTCGCGGCGGTGAACCCCAGGATCGACTTCAGCGGCCTGGACAGCTTTCTCTCAGCGGTAAGTCGTCAAAATCTAGGCCGAACAGGGAAGTTGCTGGGAGGGGCATTTCAACGGCGCGCCATTATTGCCCGCATCTTGACGGGGGCATGACGGCGCCACCGAACAGTGCCCCCTCGTCCGGCAGACGACGCCGGTTCTTTGAATCAGAGCTCTCTCTCTCTCTCGCTCGTTTTTTTTTCTATCTAACCTCGTTTATTTATTCTCTTCTCTCTTACCCGAGTAGTTGATGCGGTGACGGCAGGAAGGGCGAGCGCCGGTGGCAAGCGGCGTCGGCGGCGGCGCTGGGCCGGAGCAGTCTTCGTCGCCGTGGGACGATGCCCAACGGCAGCAGCACCAAATATGGCAAGTTGACTTCCCACCGGCGCCGCCATTGTGGTGGAGAGGGGACGCCGAGCAGCACCACGAGCTCGCTGAGCCTAGACGCTCCCTCCTTCGCTACGGCTCCGTCAATTCAGGTCGCCATCATCCACGCCCTCTGTTACTTGCCCCAAACCCGCACATATTATCTATCTATCCCTCCCCTTGGGAGAGAAGAACAGTGGTGAATAGTGACGGCGCCATTCTCCTATCCATTCCCCAAGGTGGGAAGTTTCTGTGCGAAGGGTCGGTGGTTGCATTAAACTACCTCCGATCCTCTTCGAGTCGGGTATTCCTCCCCTTCACAACCTCCATCCGCCATTAATGCTGTACACCAGTCGGCGAGGCAGAAACCCTCCCCACCCCCTCCCCTCCCCTCCCTCTTTTTCTTCTTATTCTAATCAGTTGTTCTTCTGTGGCAGTTTGTCTGCGATCTAACCAGTTGAAGCAGGAGCTCTGAGGTCGGAGGGCGTGGGGCTACCCGCCGGCGGCCGTGTAAATACGACGGAAGACTCCGGTGAGGGCAGCAGAGATCTCTCCCCCTTGGGTCAGCAGTCGTCTCCTTCCCCTTCATTTCGAGCTCTAATGTAATCCTCTCGCACTTCCGACCTGTCCACTGATTCGAGCTCTCATGGAGGTAGCTCTTCCTCGTACGCCGTCCTCTTCTTCCGTCCCAGCCGGTTCCGGGGAGGGGGGGCCTTGTTCATCATCTACCTACGGATTACTCATTCAATTCATCTTTCTCAGCTGGCTCCCCAGGTCTTCTCCGCTCGTTGACTGGGCGCCTAAGAGCATCTTGTTGACTCTTCTCATCTACTGGGAGTCACTAAAAGCTTCAACTTTCTTCTCTGTTTCTATTATTAATTCATCAGCAAGCGGGGCAACCCAATGGGGTCCTCTGAACTGGGCTGGATGAAGAAGTCAACCTTTGTAGAATTCCTCATTATAGAAGTCAAGCTAAGTGACAGCGGATCAGCGGAGAGTACGGCCTAGAGGGCAGGAGGCTATTTAGTGGGCTGGGCCGCTACGCTAATGATTTGTGGGCCCAGAGGCTTGAGGTTTGGGGAGGCCCGGGCCCTACGCTTTAATGGGCCTGAATGGGGCTTCATGCTACTGAATATGTGGGCGTTAATTGTGCGGGGTCCAGCCCACAGCATCAGAGACGGACGACTAGCTAAATGACTCTCTCTCTCTCTCTCTCTCTTTTACAGCTCTGAGAGCTTTGGCAGTAATGCAAACGTCTCTTCCCCTAATTGCTTCGCCTTTTGGGGAATCTACCTGATCAGTCTGGGCATTCACCTGAAAGTGAAAGCACATGCAGCAGGGACTGACTGGCTTTCCGCCTCCCGGTTTTGCTTCGGCTTTTAGGGTTCCAAACCAGGACGAGCCCTGAGGCCGCGCCTTTTGACTCTACCCTGTCTCTCTCCCACCCAGTGGAGAGTTTTAGAGAGAGAGAGAGAGAGAGAGGAGCTCGCAACCCAACCCAGGTCTTGTTTTGTGGAAACTGTATCCCAACAAAATATGTGTTTTGTTACCAAAGACCATGTGCCACTGGTCCTTCATAACAGTACTAGACGTATCTACACGGCATTTAAAAAAAAAAATCAAATATCAAGAACTATGAAGTACTTTGAAATAGTAATATCGTGGATAGAATTACTTGGGTGATCAAATAAATTATTTGCACTTTATGCCTAGAAGTGAAGCTGTGGATTAAATTTGTGGGAGACTCTTTAACCTTGCATTCTATGATTTTTTTGGCACAAAAGGAAAAAATTTACTTGTTCGGTTCATAAAAAATAGCATAATATTAATCATATAGCTGAAAAACCTTAAATAAATATATCAAATGGGAATTGCGTCTAAAATTTTATTCGATCGTCAATGAATGTTACAATTATATTACTCAATTATTTTATGAGGAATATCCATGGATAACATGATCAACTTCTTAATAATATAATGTCATTAAGCTATCTAGCATAGTTCAAACGCCTGATTCAATCTTCAATAGTTAGAATAATTTTAATTTGAAATCACCATATAACAGTTAAAAGTGAAGTAATTTATTTGATCATAAACTTTAATATTAAACAATGTAATTGATAAACATTAAATGGTCATAACAAAGTTTTAAAATTCGGCCATTGTTCGATTTTCAACCTCCACTAGTTTATTATTAATTTCAAGAAATATCCAATTCGTGATAAGAATTGAGTATAAGCATCTAAATTAATTATTCCGAATTAATAGTCATAATTCGTTATTATTATACACCCCAATGAAGCCAAAGGGGGAAGTAAGTAGGGAATGGTCTTGTAATATTCTTTTTAAATAGAAAAAAAGGTACTTAATTAGGAACTTACTACATCCTAAGATATCAACCCATTGTACTTTAATTATGTTGCAACCAATTTAAACACGAGCCCAAGTTCTTGCCCATTTAGGATAATCAATGTCTAACCAACAAAGACAAGTGAGACATTTTATCTTGATTTTTCCTAATCCAGCGGTGAAGAAATCACGCATAAGAGCTTCTTTTATTAAGATAATCCTGAGGGAATTATATTCATAATATTGTATGCAGAAATGGGTCTAGCTTTTAGTGTATTTATTTGCTACAAGATGGAGAAAAGACCCCTAACATTGGTCATTATTATCGCATGAAAGCCTTCCATGTATTCGATGGTTGCATGAAGTATATATAGGAGCCATGTGAAATCGGCCAGCCTCAATTTGAGGGCACCATCCCCAGCAGTGGACTCGTGAGATGCTCATACTCTAGGTGCTCCTCAAAGGCATTCTCTCTCTCTCTCTCTCTCTCTCTCTCTCTCTCTCTCTCTCTCGCCAAATATATATATCTCGATCCTCCAGCATCAGCCACAACTTTGGTCGTCGTGCTTCAATGAATGTTCAACGGAGATGGGCTGAGGGCTGATATAATCTCAGATCATAAAAGAAACTTGGAAATGGGTAGTTCTTGAGAGATACGCCTAATGTGCCTGCAAGGTGGTAGAATAGGGAGAACTCGCACTGGCCCAAGATCTCTTGGGAGGTGGTGAAGGAAGTCCAAGGAAAGGACGGATATATTCTTCTGCGAGGTCTCCCTCCCTGGGCGGGCTTCTTCACGACGCAGTGCGTAAACCAAGGCGAAAGAGGAGGCTTCCGGTGGCTGTCTGCGTATTTATGTGACTCCTTTCGCGAGGCGAACCCCCCGTTTCCCTCTCTTCTCTCCCATCCTTGTCAGGAGGCTGAACAGATCTTTTCTTCCATGGATCGACTACGTGGACTCATCAGCCTCTGTGATCTGGGAGAGAGAAGGAAGGATCCTTCGCCCCCATCGCTTATTTTGAGCAGTCAATGCAATAGTGTGCCTCCCTTTCTACAATGTTTTTTAGAGATCTGTGTCGCTGGAGAAGGATCTTCGCCAAAAACTTTAATCAGAAAAAAATGCTTTTAAGAGAGAGAGAGAGAGAGAGAGGGCTTGGGTTAACGTTCGCCAGATTGTTTTACGTAGTTTCTTGCGATCCATATTTCGGTAGCGGCTACCGGAAATCTGCGTCACCATGCAAGAGACGGTGATTGAATTTCTGATTACATTGCTACGTCTTCCCCCTCTCTTGTTCTCGATCTTCGACAACATTTTGAAACCCGGAGGACATCAGCGGAGGGTTGGATAACTCCGTTGACCATCTTCAGTATCACATAAACCTAAACTGAGGTCGACCCGTCAGACGTTCAGAGAGATTATACCCATCACGTAAAAAAGGGATTACTTGAATATTCGGGAGGGGAACGATATCCGGGGACCTTTCAAGAATTAGCGAAGGCGGTGCATTTTTGACCCGTGTTGGCGCTCCTGTTTGTGGCAGACTTCCAGAAACCACTGTCTTCTCTCTCTTTGTAGGCGGACCACGTCTGAAATGACTGCTCAGAGGGATCTTTTGACTGATCTCTCCCCTCTCTTTTGTACCCCCTGAACGAAGAAGGCCGCCCGCCGAGAAGATCCCCGGTCCTCTCTTTTGACTATCTTCGTACTTTCCACGAATTTATGATGTTATTATAGAGAGAGAATCTCCATTTATGCCTATTTCCCTCCGTGCCTCTATCAGAGAATTTGCCTTGCGGTTTGCCACATGCAAGAGAACTCCGGAGGGAAGGAAAAGAGCTACAGTGTGAACCTTTTTTGTGTGTGTGTGTGTGAGAGAGAGAGAGCGAGAACAGGAAGGACACTGCCAGAGATGATAAGAAAGAACGTGAAGTGTCTCACTGATAAACGAGTATGACTTTCTCGTTTTCATATTGAACTCCATACGAGCATTGACCTTTACCGTTTGGCTTTCGTGTTTCTCAGGTGCTAGATTCCAAACGAATTAAGAGATAGTATGATCTCGTGTCCAGCAGCGTGTTTGTTTCTATGATGTACACTTTAAACGAGTGAGGGAGTCAGAGAGAAGACCACACCTTCTTCGTTCCAGAAGCAGTTATGAAGTGGAAATATTGTTGAATAGTCTAGGCGTTAATCGGAAGCTGAGTCCAGTGGAAAGACAGACCAAGACTACACAGCTAGAACGGGACAAATCCGGCGTAGACAACCGGAAACTTAGGACGAGCGAGCGAGAGCGAGAGCGAGAGCGAGAGAGAGAGAGAGAGAGAGAGAGAGAGAGAGAGAGAGAGAGAGAGAGAGAGAGAGAGAGAACCAAAACCACTATCGTCGAGATCTACATATATATCTAACAGTAAGCGCAAAGACAGTAAACAGCGTCTAATCATCCATTGATGTACTAAGGTAAACCGATGATAAAGCCAAATCACACATCGTCATCCTTACCGTCTAAGGATGCAGTCGTGCTCAATCTCTGAAGAAGCCTCTTCTTCCTCCCCGAACCAATCCACATCGATGGCCATATGCTCATTGCCGAAGGCCCTGATATGGTCCTTGAGAGATCTCTTGTGCTTGAAGTCAGACCCGCACTTGCAGTACCAGAGTTTCCCGCAGTTCTTCTCGTGGGTTCTCCAGTCCCCCTTCACGGCGAAGGCCTTCCCACACTTCCTGCACGTGAAGGGCTTGACGCCATGCTTCCTCTTGTAGTGAGTCTGGAGCGTGCGGAAGTCCTTCAATGGCTTTGACCTTGGATGATCTATGTTGTTCCTGCACCCCGGAGCGCAGCAGTAGCACGGCAGCTTCAGCATCGCCGTCGGCTGGGCGCCCCTGAGCGAGTCCGGCCCTCTCCTGTACTGCGAGCCGTGCCCCCACATGTGCATCTGCCATTGCACCGAAGAAGAAGATCATCTGGCTCGTCAGAGTTAGTCCCATCACTAAGATGTTCTTCTAACAAGAGTTTTACGTGCTTAGCTCCCCCGTGATTCTGCAAGAATAGATAGACCTATTTTGACAGTTTGAAGTTCGCTCCTTCGATTCAAATGACATTTTTTGTGTTGTTGTGGGTATCTTTCGACATTGAAATTTATGGGTCCGATCGGGATATGATTGAAAGTCGTCATTGAAATCTAATGGATAAACACGAAGACGGGCACTTCAAGATCATTCACAAATGGCATCCCTTCATGGAGGTCCGAGCTATGAAATAATGGGAAATGTTGTTTTTCCCCCTTTGGGTAAAAAATCACTGGTAAAATGTCACCGCTAAAGATGAATGCAGTACCCCACAGTGAGCAGTCAGACATCGATCACACTATACGAATCAAAGAAACAACAGCTCGTACTAAACGTGAATGCGCCTGATTGAAATCACGCAGGTAGATGTTCTTCAGGTTCAAGCCAAGAGAAGATCTACTACGGATCTGCTGAAGTAGTACTAGATTAGAGGAAATAAATAATGTTAAAGTTGTTTGTATGGACGTACATCTTCCGTATCCACAATTTTGAGCTTAGTAGGACTCTTGTCAGAATTATGATTCAGGTAAAAGTATCACAACAAAATTACTGAACCAACAATCCCTTGTAACTTGCACGTAGATCACGAAAATGCGAGTATTGGGTCGTCGCAAAGAAAAATACTAAATGTTTTGGAAATAAAATAGAACGTTCTTTCTGAAGATGTGTACTAACGTGAGAGAGAGAGAGAGAGAGAGAGAGAGAGAGAGAGAGAGAGAGAGAGAGAGAGAGAGAGAGAGAGAGAGAGAGAGCAGAAAGAGGGAGGCAACCCGTTGCTCATAAGTAACGTGTTTCTCCACTGACATTTTTCAGATCAGAATTGGGGGTGCAGTAGATTCATGGAGAGTTATGCTTCTGTACAAATCATTTGGGCAATTATTACATGATTCCAAATAGATGAAAATATCAAAAAATAGAAAGTGAAAGGTGTTATCCAAAGCTCGAACGAGGCAAGTCTCTTCGCGATTTCATCAAAAATAAAGACGAACGGATGAGAGAACTCGGAGACGCTTATGCGTTGAATCTAGCTTATATATGCGTACATACCTGCATGTTGTTGTATCTGTTGAAGACCTTGTAGCAAACAGGGCATGAGAACTGGGTGGGACCCATAAGGATATGAGACGGGCTGGGGATCCAGTACTGGCCCTTGTTGACCCTGCTTGTTGACGTCTCTGCAAAACCTGCGGAAGCCCCATCGTCGGCACCTTCAGCTTCATCATCTTCTACCTCGGTGGTGGAGGAAACCCTAGAGATCAGATTTGCGGGACTCGTACTCGGCAGGCCAATGTGCAGAGCCACGATCACCGGCTCCAGGTCTCTTTTCTTCTCGAAGGCAGCGGATAAGGAGGAGGTTTCCTCGTGATGCCTTCTAGGGCTGAGGTTAAGTAGGGGGAGGGCTTCTCTCAGGGGCGGCGAGGAGGGGGGGGAGAGGTGGAAGGGCTGGTAGGTGTAGCTGTTGAAGGAAGAGGGAAGAGGGGGAGGTGGGGGTTGTCCGGGTGGAGACGGAGTGAGAGAGGAAGGGTAGTAATTGGAGAAGACTCTAAAGGAAGGATCTGTCATGGCTTCAGCCGATGGGTTGGAGCGATGAGGGGAGTCAGGCGTCTGATGGCTAAGGAGGCGTAGCTTGTTATACAGATAGGGGAGGGAGAGCAAGCGAGCGAGCGAGAGAGAGAGAGGGAGAGAGGATTGTGAAGTAAAAATTCGCTAAACGGTGGCAGAAAAATTGAGATTGAGATGACCAAAGGGACGGTATGCTGGGGGGAAGGCAGACGGAACAAAGAAAATCGAGAGCTAGAGAGAGAGAAAGAGAGAGAGACAGAGAGACAGAGAGGAGAGAGAGAGGATGGGACAGAAATCTTGGGACTCGGAAGGGAAACAAGACGTTTCTTGAGCACATACCCTGATAAACGGAGATAAAAGAACCCCCCAGCCATGCAGCCAAGGTCTCGACTCCCCCAGACGGCACTCGCCTCGCTCTGAGAGCATAGATCGCGTGGGCCCCCACATCCTGTTCTTTGCCCCCTCTCGGACCCAATCGCCAGCCCCACTGCGCAGAAAGAAGTTCCTCCTTTTGCATTAGAAAATCACTTGGGAATTAGGAAGGTTCAATAATCGGACCCAACAGTAGACAAGGCCGTCAAGTGGTGATGAAGCTTGTCCCCCACATAAAAGGAGGGATAGATGGCGATGCCGAGAGAGAGAGGAAGAGAGAGAACGTTATTCGCCATCTAGCCCTCGCTTCCCCGTGATGAGAAAAATGAGAGAGAGAGAGAGAGAGAGAGGGGGGGAGGGGGGCGGATGCTCTCTCCGGTGGGCGGGCTCGCTACTCGGCCTGACCCGTTGCACCACTCCTCCCGAGAGCCAAATCGGAGTAGCCACTCGGGGTGAACCCCTCGTCTCTTCTGCCGGCCCGCCGCCTCCTGTAGCCCACGCAACCCCCACCAACCAACTGCTGATCGCCCCTCCGAGCTCCGGCTGTCATCCCCTGATGAGCTGCCCACAATGGCCCCCCCATCGCTCATTCATTCCCATGCAAGGGTGGGGCTCTTCCTCACACGATGCCAAACAGACTACTGTTGTCTGTGGGTCTCCTCAATCAAGGGTCTACATGTAGACATATACATCTCGCGTCGAGAACTACAGACTTTTCAAGGTACACGTGTATGCTAAAGCTCACATTGATGAATTTCCAGAAGACTTTATTTTCATTATGCAGTCTTTTAGAGACGGTCAGTGGTTCTTCTCAAGGAGGGATCTTTGGGTATTTACTTCTCTAATATGAAGAACTATAGGTTTTTGGAGGTATATCTGTAAATCTACCCCTGTTGGGGTGAATATCACTGTAGACTATGGAATTTCAATAGGATTTAGTTTGCATTATCACTGCTGGGAATAGTGACCCATGGATGAGGTAATGTACTTCGGATTTTTCCCGTCTGATGTGGGTCGAGTTTTAGGATCTATTATTTATTTATACAGATGTACGACGTACTAAACTTGTCTACCTTAGAACGCTGCAAAGTGATATCGAATATAGTTTTATTATTTTTTAATAAAATACTTATTTAAATAGAATATTATTGTATAACCATGCCAATAAAAAGTAACCCATCAAATAGTACTTAACATACGCAAAGCTGTCTTCTAGCTTGTCTCAAATCCCATCCTAACTTCCTCCAATCTGGATCCAATTGTGTGTGTGTGTGTCTGTGTGCGTTAGGTGAGTGAATGAGGCAGGGGGAGGGGAGAGAGGGAGAGAGAGAGAGAGAGAGAGAGAGTTGGGTATTATATATATATATATCGAGAGAGAGAGAGAGAGAGAGAGAGAGAATCCACAGTAGGAATGGAGTATTGGAACAGGAGATTGTGCTCGTGAGGAGTATGGAGGTAGTTCCTCCCTCCTGATGGGCAATGAATGAGACGCCCACGAAATCCCTCGACTTCAACAGTGGACTCTGCTGACTCCATTGTCATTATCCGCCTTCACCATCGATTTCCTCGAGCATTTTATGATAATAGCAACAGTAAATCCTACCAGGTCTTTACAGCTAGCTATCTGTCTGAGTTCTTCGAAATTTTGTTGCAATCTTAACTATTATTTCATGTGTACAGATATATATATATAAAGAGAGAGAGAGATAGAGAGACGGAGAGAGAGAAGAGGAATATTAACCATCGCAGCGGCAGTGATCTCTCTCTCTCTCTCGGTGTATATATAATACCCAAGTATCTATCCCTCTCGCCCTTGTCGCCTCCCTCTCTCTCGCCCCTCCGGTTGGAGAAGCTGCACAGTCAGAGGAGATCGTTAACTTTCGACGCACTTAAATGCACTGTTGGCGCAAGTGAAGTGTGCGGTTGTCAGAGCTTCGATGCCCCACGGACACGCCGGATTCAGAGTACAACGTACAAGGCAAACAGTAGAGGCAGTGAGGGCATTAAATCCTGGTAGGAGAGGGACATGGAAGGAGAAGAGCAGAAGGCGCATGTGAGAAGGTTTGAATGCTGATAATAGGTATCAAAAAGGATAGCAGAGGTGACTGTCCGGTTTTAGGGTTTTCAATGTGATGGAAGATGGAGAAGCGAATGCTTGGGTATGTTTTTACTCTCTCCAGCAGACGTACAGTACTCCTCTTCAACTTCCACGCCTCTCGGACGAAGAGGGAGAGACAGAGATAGATACAGAGGGAGGTAGAGAGAGCGAGAGAGAGAGAGAGAGGACGGGAAGATAGAAAAGGGGACCTGGGAAAGAATTGGCTTTTTACCTTGCCAAACTGCTGCCCCGTGCCAATGACGGGACCATCTAGGTTTTCTGTCCCACGGATACCAATCGGCATCTTCGACTCTCTAACTTTTCACCATCTGCAGCGACTAACCCATTACAACTTGTGGGAGAGAGGCCAGAGTTTCTAGTGGTTCTCTCTACCTCTCTTTCTCAATCACTGCATAACGGTCAACCCACTCCAAGTTGTGAGAGAGGAGCAATTTTGTAATGGGGGTTACTCTCTCTCTCTCTCTCTCTCTCTCTCTCTCTCTCTCTCTCTCTCTCTCTCTCTCTCTCTCTCTCTCTCTCTCTCTTTTGCTCTCTCGCCCGCTCGCTCTACGATAACCAGCCCAGTGGGCAGTGCACAGAGAGAAAGAGTTACAGGCTCCCCCCTCACGCAAGTTGGAATGGGCTTAGCAGAGCAGAGAGATAGATAGATACACAGAAAGAGAGAGAGAGAGAGGGAGAGAGAGAGAGAGAGAACGAGGCGTTGTCTGCTTGATGTCATATTCTCTACAGTTATCTTCCTTCACTGTTCACCTCCTAAGCAACAGTTCCACCACAAAAGTAGGCATCAAAGGGAGCACTGAAGACTGCCCCACATCTTCGCAGCGAGCGACCCATCGCAGCGCTTACGGCACTCTTCTGATTCTCCTCAGAGGAAACGTCTTAACCATAGAAGCTTTTCAAGGAAACGACGACTTCCATTCTGAAAGCGCATGATGAAGAGGGAGAAGACTCGGCAGGCCATCTCATCAGCTAACACGGTACAAAGGATTGTTGGTAATTGATAAAAACAATTAATGGGCTATTAGTCGGAGAATTTCATTTGTTGGACCACACTTTGTCCCTACTCGGGTGTAGTCCTTATCTGATGTCTGGCAACGTTAGGTTTATTAACTCCGTCCACCAGTGGCATTTAAGAGGTTGGGCAGTTTTCTCTCCCTCTCTCGCCCTTCTCTCTCTCTCTCTCTTTCTCTCTCTCTCTCTCTCTCTCTCTCTCTCTCTCTCTCTCTCTATCTACCTATGTATCTTTCTATCTCTATCTCTCTGTCCCTCCCGCTATCTCACTCTCTGTAGCTCTCTGTCTCTGTCTCATACACACACTGAGGCACTGACTACAAAACATCGTTTGATATTCTAGGATCATGAATGAATTATGGATACATGTTCTGATTGCGAGGAAGTAGATTGCTGAGTTAGCAATTAATATGACCAATTAAGGGTCACAAAGTCAATTATGTTTGAAACACCCGCGGTACATGGTTGTAGGGGCTGGTACATATCGAGACCCACCATTTATTATTAGGTCTACAATTCTCGATTCCATTAAACTTTAAGAACCATAGTAAGTCAGCCACAGTGGCTCGGGGGACTATTCTTCTCCCAGCCACTGTAGCCATCGAGTATGGCCAAATCAGCAGCGGCTCAGGGTACTATTTATAAGATCAGCGGATTCTACGTCCCGAAAGTACCTGAGACGGAACTCATCATCGTCCAATGTTGATACATCAGCGGCAATGTTAATGAAACAGTATATTGGACTCTATACGCCATTTTAATGAAAGAGCAGAATTATAAATTTATAATTTGATCCCCTACTCTTGATCTTGGTCTGGAGCTAGATAATCTGATTCTGCAATATTGAATAGTTGGGATTGTCACCGTTGATTCACGTTCATACTCGACTGCAGAAATTGCGGCAGTAGCAAAAAAGTTGCTTGTGCTCCTACGACTATTTCGAGCAACGTTAAGCTGTCCCATCACTTTAGTTTCATCTCTCCTGTTAAACTCAATCAGGAGTGCGAAAGATTTATTTTATTCTTCATAAGACATCGATATGATACTGACTGACATCAACAATCTAAGAACAATCATGGTAATGAAAGATTGTATGCTGACCTTGATCTCCATCGAGAGCCAATTTGGGCTTCCATGAGTTTTAGAGAGGTGGTTGGAAGGTAAACAACAGCCCTCAATATGACGTCCACCAAGAAGTATTACCTTTGTGGAAGGAGCATCCTAGGGGCATCCTAGCAATCTCGAGATTGGAGAAAACAATTCATCCATTCGAGCTTCCTTTCACTGATTATCTTAAATTTATGCATTACTTCATAAGGTTTTCTCCCATTAAATACAGTTTACTATAATTATTTATCGTGGTACGATCCTTTTTTGTTGTAGCTTTTAGATGTGATTCAAGTTCTCGGAAGGAATGGAGTGAGGTTCAGATTAAGACATCTCAGCAGTCAGTGTCTACAAGAGGGAGCATGGGTAAGAGGTCCTCATCAGCTAGTTT